GGCTGTGACAGAGGAGCGAGATGCGCTGAGCCAGCAGCAGGCCGGGCACCTGGCTCGGATCCGCACACTGGAGGAGGACGTCCAGGCCATCAGCGCCAAGGTGCTGCAAAAGGAGGTGGAGCTGGACAGGTGAGCTGGGCCCAGGGGATATGGCAGGGGGCTGGGAAGTTAAGCAGCGGTTGTCTGCCCAGATTGGTACTCGGTTGCCCCGCCAGGCACTGACAACCCCCCCACCCCACCCCACCCCCATCTGCAGGATGAAGGACACGGTGAAGGCGATGATGAGGGAGCAAGAGCGGATCCACCACCAGCTGAAGGAGGAGAGTGCCGAGAAGGAGCATTACCAGGTGAGCCAGGGGCAGGGGGCAGCCGGGCATGGGGTGGGCACCCAGGCGGGACCCCCGGGCACTGAGGACCGGGCCCGCCCTCCAGGTAAAGCTGCAGGGCTCAGAGCAGGAGGGCGTGTGCCTGGTGGGCCAGCTGCACCGGGCCGAGGCCCAGCGCGCCGCCGGCATCTCCCAGGCCCTGGCACTGAAGCAGGACATCAACAAGCTGCAGCAGAAGCTGGCAGCCGCGCAGCAGAGGACGGTGAGTGACCCCAGGTGCCCCCTGCCCCTACTGCCATCCCACCTGGCCCCTCCACCAGAGGGGAGCAGAGCGGTATAGCAGTTAGAGCAGGGGACACCTGCGTTTCCTTTCCTTGTGGAACCTGCAGTCTTTTTCTTTACCCCCACCCTCTCCAAAATGCCCATTTCCAATCAACCAGCTTGCCCCTGCGGGGTCTTGAACTCACAACTCCAAGCCCCTGGCAGCGGGCACTTGGTCTCCTGCTCTTCTGTTGCATCTAGTTATAGGGCAAATGGGGGTGGCGCACCCCAGAGTCTGGGTTCCAGCCCCTGTATGACCGCCCCCATCTCTGCTTCCCTCCCCCCCCAGGCCCAGCTGGAGGCACTGAGTGAGCAGCTCCGCTGCACCCAGGACCTGCTGGCTGCCAGCCAGCAGAAGGTGGCACTGCTGGGCGAGGAGCTGGCCAGCGCCGCCTCCATCCGCGACCGCACCATCGCCGACCTGCACAAGAGTCGCCTGGAGTCGGCCGAGACCAACATCAAGCTGGCGGACATGACCCTCAAGTGGAAGGAGGGCAAGGGGCAGTGGGGCAAAGAGAAGAGCAGCCTGCTGCAGAGCATGGAGGTACCGTGGGACCCCTCAGTGCCAGAGGTGGCTGCTTCTGGGGTGTGGCAGCCAGATGGCAGCATGGAACGGGAGGTGCTGGCTTGGGGCTTGGCAATGTGGCACCCCCAGGGCGAGCAACCCCCGCCTCTACCCTCTTCCCTGCAGCACAGCACCCCTGCTGAAAACCCACCCACCCTTTGCTGAACCCCAACCCAGTCCCATGCAGCGCGGGAGTACCGGGGGGTTGTGGGGCCTGGCTGCCCAATCTGGAGCCTGCTTGGCCCTTGGGAATGGGAGGGGAGGGGAAGGGGCTTCTTGGGCTGCCCCCCTCCCTGGTGCAGCCCCCCTGAGTGCAGCACCTGCAGGCGGAGAAGGACAAGATCCTGAAGCTGAGTGCTGAGGTGCTGCGGCTGGAGAAGAGCCTGCAGGAGGAGCGGGCCCAGAAGCAGGCGCTCAAGGCCGAGCTGTCCCGGGAGAGGGATGCCAGCCTGGTAAGTGGGCTGGGACTGGGGCAGGGGCTGGGCCTAGGGTGGGCACTACGCCAGGGGCAGGGCTTGGGGGCGGGGGTCCCCTGGGGCAGCTTCCAGGGGGTGTGCGGGAATAGGGGGCGGGGGTTGGCCACATGCAGGAGGAAGTCTCATAGCTCTGCCCCACCAGGTGCAGCTGTCAGAGACCAAGCGGGAGTTGAAGGAGCTGCGAGCTGCCCTGACAGTGTCGCAGAAGGAGAAAGAGCAGCTGCAGGAGGAGAAGCAGGTGGGTGCAGAGGGCAGCGGGGGGGGTCGGGGAGCCCAGGGTTGGTGTCCCCTTGGCTGCCTGCCTGGGGGGGCAGAGACAGCACCAGGGGGCAGGCCGAGAGCTCCGGGCACTGACAGGCGCTGTGGCAGGAGCTGCTGGAGTACACGCGCCAGCTGGAAGAGAGGCTGGAGAAGGTGGCTGATGAGAAGTGGCGCGAAGTGGCAGTGCCCGAGGATGAGGAGGAGGCGGCCGTGGCTCTGGGTACGTGTCCCCTGCCCCAGACCTGCCCCCAACGCCAGGGCTGGTGCAGCTCCTTGGCCCTTCACGGGCTCAGCGCCCCATCCCAGCTCAGCCGTGGCCAGGGCTGCCCCCATGCCACCTCTCCTGGTGCCCACCCAGGGACACCGGACCTCTTCTGCCCTGTAATGGGACAAGTTCCTCTGGCTCCGCCCCTACGCTCTTGCTGGCTCCGCCTTTATTTGCTGACTCCACCACCACTCTTTGCTAGCTCCTCCCTCCTCTTCTTGTTCTGTCCCTTACTGGTTCCACCTCTTGCTGGCTCCACCCCTATTCCTTGCTGGCTCCTCCCCTAACCCTTTTCTAGCTCTGCCCCTGGCTGACTCCGCCCCCACCAGCAGGGGGCACCGGCTGCCAGTGTTACCCGGCTCTGCCTCCCGCTCTCTCCAGCCTCCCTGGATTCTCCGCTCTCGGACTCCGAGGACGAGTCGCCCGAGGACCTGCGGCGCCATCCCCAGCTGAGCCCTTACAGCCTGTGTGACCAGCGAGCGGCCCCTGGCACCCCGCCCTGCCCGCGGGAGCCCGCCCCCCCCGTGGTGATCAGCCAGCCCACCCCCATCACCACCCACATTGCCCAGCCCACTGAGGACAGCAGCTCTGACTCGGTAAGTCTTGGGGAAACTGAGGCATGGGCGGGGGTTGGGGGGCAGACAGCATCCTGGCACCCAGCCGCTTGCTGGTGCACCATGAAACCCAGAAGTCCACCTCCCAGTCCCTTCCCGTGACCCCTTCTCATTGAACAAGGGGTGGGAAGTTCAAAGGCAGCAGCCAGAGGCCAGGGCTCCTGGGTACTGGGCCAGGTTTGATAGAGAGGGGTCTGATGCGACTGGGGCCTGTGGGGGGGGTCAAGAGGGGGCTTGGCCAGCAGCTGGCTCTGGGGAGGGTCAGGCAGCTGGTGCATCGGTGCCAGCTTCTGGAGGGGCATGCCTACCCCTGGGACCTGGCTGCTTGTGCCTAGAGGAGAATCCCCCCACCTTAGCAGTGCAGGGGCTAGGACACACGTGAAGGGCGATGCACTCACTCCCGGCCCCTGGCAGGAGGCGGAGGACGAGAAGGCCGTACTGCTGGCAGCCGTGCAGAGCGGAGGGGAGGAGGCCAGCCTGCTGCTGCCGGACCTGGGCAATGCCTTCTACGAGGTGGCCAGGTGAGGGGCATGGCGCCCCAGGGGCTGGCAGCTGGATGGCAGACGGCTGGGTGCAGGGAGGGGAGGTGGGCGCACTGGGTGCTGGGACTCAGGTCCTGGGTGCTGGAGGTGAGGGGCAGAATGGGCACTGGGTGCTAAAGGAAGGGGGCAGGTGGGTGCAGGGGCAACAGGCTGGGCACTGCAGGGTGGGGGGAGGCTGGGTGGTGGGTGCCAGGTATTGGGGGTCAGGTTGGGTGCTGGGATCTGGAGGGGGATGTGCCAGGTGTTGCATGCCAGAGGGCTAGGCTGGGTGCCAGGTGCTGGGCCTGGACCCGGACCCAGCCCTGACCCTGCCCTGGCCCCCAGCGGTGTGACAGGCCGGCAGCAGGGGGAGCGGGCGCCCACGGACCTGCCAGCCTCCCCCGGGCTGTGGCGTGAGTGCCCCATCTGCCGGGAGCGATTCCCGCCCGGGTGTGACCGCGAGGCCCTGGAGGAGCACGTGGACGGGCACTTCTTCTTCAGCGCCCACGACCCCTTCACCTTCGAGTGACACCCAGGGGCCACCCCTGCCCAACGGGGATGGGGGGTCGCACTGCCCAGAGGGCTGGGGTGGGTCGGCCTTGGGCCCCCCTCCCCTGCCAGCTGGCACAGGCTGATCTCCTGGGTCCCTCGGGGCTCTGGGTCAGGATGAGGGGAGTGGGGGAGCTGCTGAGGGGCTCCACTGGGGGGGTTTTCCCCCCCCATGCCAGCCCCTGGAAAGCCCCCAAGCTGCTTCTGGCTGATGCCAGGGTGGGGACCCTGCTGCTGTCACAAGCGTCCCCCCCAGCCCCGGAGCCACATGGCCGATGCAGCTGGTGCCCCCTGGGTGGGCAGGAGAGAGGCTTTGGGCCCTGGCACACAGTTGTGTGTGTGTGCACAAGTGGGCCTATGTGTGCATGTGCATGTATGCACACAAGTGGGCCTGTGTGCATGTGTGCTCACAAACAGCCATGTATATATGTGTGTGTGTGGGCAAGTGGGCCTGTGTGTATGTGTGTGCACACAAGTGGGTGTTTGTGTATGTGTGTGTGTGTGTGCATGAGTGAGTCTGCATGTACATGTGTCTGTGTGCAAGTGGACCTGTGTGTGTATGTGCACATGTATACACATAAGTGGGCCTATGTACATATATGCACACATGTGTATGTATGTATGTGTGCACAAGTGGGCCTGCATGTACACATGTGCAAAATGGGCCCGTGTGTACATGTGGGTGCACAAGTGAGCATGCGTGGACACGTGGACACAAGGGGGCCTGTGCGCTTGTGTGTGCACAAGCGTGTACGTGCGCTCGGGGTCCCCCTCCCTGTGCCCTTGGCTCCAGCGCAGCTCCATCAAGCCCCCTTGCCCCTCCCCATGGTCCATTCCTGCCCCCTCAGCCGGGCAGTGCCCCGCTCCCAGGGCTGGTGCCCGAACCAGAGCCCCAGCAGCATCCAGCCTTTGCACCAGCACCTCTCAGGCCTGCCCCAGCCCCTTCCTCCTGCCCCTCGCCACGAGGGGATTGCTGCAGACCCCAGCAGCAGGGGAGGACATCAGGAACTAGCACCAGCCCCGATCCTCCCACCACGGGGAAGGGGGCAGATCTGCCCCCACCCCCTTTTATCTCTGCCCTGGGCAGGAACCTTTTATAACTGACTTTCTACTCCAGGGGCTTTCAGGTCCCCCCCAACACCCCTCCCCTCCCCCGCTGGGCATCTTCCCCCCCTCTCGGTGGGGGGGGTAAAGAACCCAGGTGTCCGGCAAGCCCCCCCAACCCGCCCCCCCAATCTCTCGCAGAGGAGAGAGCGAGCTGTGGATGCACCGTGCCTTTTGAGGGCGGGAGACGCTGGGATGGGGAGCGAGGAGGGTCCCTGCTATGCACCCCCCAGCCCCTTTCCAGACCTCTTTCCCATCTATTTTCAATGCGGTTATTTTTTAAATGAAGAGACGGTAACACCCCCCCCGCCCCCGTCAGAGCAATAACCCGCGGCCCGCCCGCCGGCCCCTGTATAGCGTGTATATATCTATATTTATATTCCGTGTCTCGGCTATTCTAATAAAACCCGGTTTCTTCCAAGCCTCCCCTGATTGATGGTTTATGGGCTGCTGTAAAACTTGCCGCCACTTCAACCGGGCCCGGAGGGAGATCCTGGGTCGGAGCCCGCTGGCTGCATGGGGCTCATGGGAGTGAGGGGCTGGGGTCTCAGGGTGCTTGTACTGGGGGGGTACCCCTGGGGCTGACCGAGAAGGGGGCTGAGATACATGCATGCCCTGTTTGCACCAGGGGCCGGGGCGCCTGGGTTCTGCTCTGGCCTCGGCTGCGCGATGGCAGCGGCATTGTGTGCCCCTAGAGCTGGACACAGCTTAGCCCCCGGTAATCCCGGGCATCACTTGGCTTCCTGTTGCAGTGGGTTTAAGGCCCCCACGGCACTGCCCAGAGAGGGGGCAAGCATGAAGAAGGGTGGGAGAGGAAGCTGAGGCCGGGGGCAGGCCCAGGTGTGTCCCCTGTCCCCACCACTTTATCCTTTGTTCCCTGCCGAGACCCGGGCACACTTGAGTATCATCGGATGTAGAGGCCCACCTTCCTCTAGCCTTGAAGAGGCCTTCTGCCACTTGCCCTAGTGCAACACAGATGTGCGACAGACTGGCATGAGCGGTTATGCAAGGAGTGAGGCCCTGGGAGCAGCTGGAGTGGGGCTGAGGCCAGATCTGCCCCAGGGACATGGCCACCATCTGGGGCAGCGTGTCCAGGGGCTGGGCAAAGGCTCATGGGAAATGCTCATGGCCTAGCTGGGGGCATTGGATGGCAGCTTGGAAGCTGAGCATGGCTGTGCGGTGGACCGGAGCAGACAGGCTGGGGTGGGAGGGTGGTGTCCAAGACCCCTCTCTGCCACCGACCTCCCGAATGACCTAGGTCACATCCCTTAGCCGCCCCTCTGCCTCCGTGCCCCTTTGCGGGCCCTGCTGCAGGAACAGAGGCCATGGCAATGGGCATTATCTACACCCTCTATACCAACCCCAATAGAGGGGCTTCATCTCTGCTGGGGTGGGAACTCTGAGTTTACCCCCCAGCCCTTTCACTCCAACCCCTTCTTTCTTCCCCCACGCTTGACCCCGGACTCGTACAGCGCACGGCGTGCGGGGGTGGGAGGGGGGCACGGCGCGGCAGCCCCTCTCCCTCCTCGCGCCCTGTTCCAGCACTGGAGCGGATAACGACAAAATCAATTTTTATCACCCAGCGGCTTTTATGGTGCCTTTAAAATATAACAGCAAATCATTGAGGAATTCATTACATACCCGCCCGGCCCCCTCCCC